CACAAGAATACTTGTCTTGCAGTACACCTGGGGTGGGACTGAAGCTAGGGTAGGTGTAACCACTCCAGCTATAATCAATAGCAGGGAAGATGTAACCAGCAGAGTTTAGCCCAGGCATACAAGCTTCCCCAGGGACCCAGGTTGCTAGCCCATGCTTAGGTTTGTGCTGCCACATTCTTTCCTTGCTATTGTTACCAGTGCTAGCCAGAGTGCAGCAAATGTGGATTTCTTCCTCTGCTAGAGTCACACCTTTGATCGCTGTGTAGACAGACCCCAGAAGAGCTAGAATGACTTCCTTTTTGCTGCTTTGACTTGTGATTCCCCCTAGGCTGCAGAATTCTTCAGACATCAGTTTCAAGCTCCCCAAAGTCTCTGGGGGTTGTTCTGAGCCAGCATTTTGGTTCTTCCCATCACAGACAGCCAAGACAGCCAGATCCAGTTTATCAGGCTTGCAGGGCAGCGAACTTTAAGATGGGCCCATCTCCAGCTATAACTCTACATCCAGTGTTGAGTTCAGGATGAAATATTTTTCAGGCTGGAGACTTAAAGAGACTTGCTGCCAGGTTTCATGTATAAATCTTTCCCCAAAATGTGAAGTTTTGACCCTGCATTCTAAATCTTCATCTGCCTAAAAAAAATGAAATAAAATCTATCACTGCAATGTAAAAAGCAATTAAAAGCTTGCAGTGGTGTCTCTCTCTTCCCCTTTGTTCCAGCTGTCAAAATGCTTTATGGGGTTAATACCTGTGGCTTTGTCAACAGGAGTTGTGTTAATAACATGCACATTTTACTGGACTAATGCAGACCATGTGCCCGCTTATAAGTGTGTTAATCTTTATGGGCGTTTCAGCTCAAGACCCCAGCATGGGTAGTGAAAAGCAGGCAGAAAGGGAGGGTGGTTCTAGCACCTGGGAATGGAAGTTACATTTTCCACACCATTTAGTAGCATGGAGGGGAGGGATTGTCAGGGGTCAGAGGCCGATCACTTCTCCTTACTTTTCTGAGCAAGAATTACAACAGGGGAAGGGGACTGCTGCTGGCTGTACAGGAACTCAGAGCTAAAAGAGTTCTTGGTAGGAATTGTAGCTACCTTAAGGCTGGTCGTCTCTCACCACTGTTCCTCTCCCACCAGGGAGCCCTGTAGGAAGCCCTGGTTGTGCACAGCTCATAGCGATTCCAATTCCATGCTCTGGTGCTAGGAACAGCAGAATAGGATGGAGGAAGAGTGCTGGATCTTGGTAACTTGCTCCCTTCCATCCCAGGCTCTCTTGAGGCATATTGCTTGTGAGTAGTTCACAGGTCCTTCAGTCCCAGCCTCCCTGAGAAGAAGCTGCTGCAAGGATAGTGTGGGAGAGCTGGCTGAGAGAGAGAACACAGCTGCTTGGGTTCTCTTTTTTCCCCAGAATTATTAATAGTAAGAAATGTATCACGCTGGCCATAGGCAGCTGGCAGCTACTGTGTTCCCAGCTTCTAGCAACAGGAGTCGCTCTAGATCAGTACTTCTCAACCAGGGTTCTGCAAGATCCTTGTAAGGGTGGTGATTCTTTGTATCAGAAGAATTTCTCTATTCATAGATTCATAGATGTTAGGGGCTGGAAGGGACTTTACAAGATCATCAAGTCCAGCCCATCTGCACTTGGGCAGGAAGTTGAAAAAGGAGCAAAAGCTAAGAGCTGGCATTTTCTGAGGGCTGCCTTTAGTCTAAAGAGGTTGAGAACCAGTGCTTTGTTCCAGCAGAAGGCACTATAAGGAGTGATATGGGAGGACCAGCTTGGCAGAGGTCCCAACTACTCCAGGCCCATCCTTTGGGAGCAGGGGATGCCCCATCACCTTAATACAGGAGCCATTAGGAGTTTGCAGCTTCTGCTTGAAGACCCAGAGACCCATTTTAGCATGTTGGGGTATGAAACTGCTTTTTATGCTCACCAGTGTGATGCGTAGTTTCCAGAGGGACCCACTAGCTATTGTGCAGCTGAAGCACTGAATCCGGCAGGATGCTACGGCTGCAATTCAGCACCAGTGATGAGAGCACATGCTTTCAAGCGCAGAGTAATTGGAGCACTTTGTCATTCAAATGCCTGTAATTGGCGCTTCATTGTCTAATGCCAGTATGTATAATATACAGAGGATAGAGTGGATAAAGCAGACATTGTGAAAGGAGGCAGCTAATTGGCTGATGAAGTTTCCAGCTGCGCAGGGAGCTGATATACTTGCAAACCATGGGGCTGATTACTGGACTTATCTCCCTGCAGGTGTACTGGGGCAATGAAAAAATATCTGGAAAACCTTTCTTTCTCTCTCTCTCTTTTTTTTTTTTTTTT